ACTGAACTAGAACTGAACTACAACTGAACTAGAACTGAACTACAACTGAACTAGAACTGAACTAGAACTGAACTAGAACTGAACTAGAACTGAACTAGAACTGAACTAGAACTGAACTAGAACTGAACTAGAACTGAACTAGAACTGAACTAGAACTAGAACTGAACTAGAACTGAACTAGAACTGAACTAGAACTGAATTAGAACTGAACTAGAACTGAACTAGAACTGAACTAGACTACTAGACTGAACTAGAACTGAACTAGAACTGAACTAGAACTGAACTAGAACTGAACTAGAACTGAACTAGAAACTAGAACTAGAACTAGAACTAGACTGAACTAGAACTTAGAACTAGAAACTAGAACTAGAACTGAACTAGAACTGAACTAGAACTGACAGAACTGAACTAGAACTGAACTAGAACTGAACTAGAACTGAACTAGAACTGAACTGAACTAGACTGAAACTAGAACTAACTAGAACTGAACTAGAACTGAACTAGAACTAAACTAGAACTGAAACTAGAACTGAACTAGAACTAACTAGAATGAACTAGAACTAACTAGAACTGGAACTAAACTGAACTAGAACTGAACTAGAACTGAACTAGAACTGAACTAGAACTGAACTAGAACTGAACTAGAGAACTAGAACTGAACTAGAACTGAACTAGAACTGAACTAGAACTGAACTAGAACTGAACTAGAACTGAACTAGAACTGAACTAGAACTGAACTAGAACTGAACTAGAACTGAACTAGAACTGAACTAGAACTGAACTAGAACTGACTAGAACTGAACTAGAACTGAACTAGAACTGAACTAGAACTGAACTAGAACTGAACTAGAACTGAACTAGAACTGAACTAGAACTGAACTAGAACTGAACTAGAACTGAACTAGAATTGAACTAGAACTGAACTAGAACTGAACTGAACTAGAACTGAACTAGAACTGACTAGAACTGAACTAAAAACTGAACTAGAACTGAACTAGAACTGAACTAGAACTGAACTAGAACTGAACTAGAACTGAACTAGAACAGAACTAGAATTGAACTAGAACTGAACTGAACTAGAACTGAACTAGAACTAAACTAGAACTGAACTAAAACTGTACTAAAACTGTACTAAAACTGAACTAAAACTGAACTAGAATTGAACTAGAAATGAAATAGTACTTCTTAGAACTATTAAAGTATATTCGGAATGGAAATCCTCAGATTTGTCGATTTAATCCATCGTCTCTAACATCCATAAAACATCGTTAAAACACATTTAAATTTTACTTGAGCCTCGATTTCTGATCACTCATATTTTATCCTTTACATTCCAAAATCGCTTAAATTTAAATATGGCCCACTGTAAATCAACTGTAAGACTCCAAATTAAATCTCACTTTTAAAACAACAAACCAAAAGACAGACAAACTTAATATTTTTGTTTATTAATTTAAAGCCACTCTTGAACAAATCAAATAAAAAAAAACTAAATAAAAAGAAAAGAAACAAAAAATAATCATTTAATTTGTTAATTGAATATGTCTTTTTAAGTTGTTTCATATCAGAAGAAGAAGCAAAAAAAACGTTCAATTAATTTATTTATTACGAATGAACAAGATGAAGTAGATAACTAACAAGTGAATGAATGTCTGTCCATCCATCTGCTTGTCTGTCACTCAGTTTTGTGTTCAAAACTTTTAAAACACTACCCAAACCACATTTTAGAGGATTTTTTCAAAAAGATTTCAATCTTTTAAAAAAAAGATCACAAAAAAACCCACCATTAAAATAACTTAAAAAATTCCAAAAAAAAAATATATATTTAGCAAAAATATTTAGAATAATAATAAAAAAATGAAAAAAACTGGCAAATAATTTTTAATTGCTAAATTATCAGTTCTATGGATGATGATTTCAAATAAAAGCGTACGAAAAAAAAAATTATTAAACAAATCGAAACCACTGGCGCCATAAAAATAAAACATGTATTAGACAGATTTTGCTTGTGATACGAATTATTGATATTGTTTCTTTTTTTATATATATTTTGTTAATTTTATTTTTAATTTGGAGGGTTAAAAGAGATATCACTTGAAATTATAAATAATATTGTTATAATAATTGTTTGTTTGCTAAAGAGATAAAGATTTTACAAATAACATTAATCAAAATTTCAAGAAAGTCAGATCAAAGTACTTAATCGTCTTAATAAAAGTCATTGAATGAAATAATTTTGTGACAAAATCCGTGATCTTGAATGACTGTCCGCAAAAAAGTTTGACAAGTGTAGGAATAATGTGTGATAAGTTTATATGTTTTTTGTAAAGAAAGAGGGCCCTGACATGTGATATCAGATATTTTCCCTGATAGATAGATAGATAGATAGATAGATAGATAGATAGATAGATAGATAGATAGATAAGATAGATAGATAGATAGATAGATAGATAGAAGATAGATAGATAGATAGATAGATCAGATAGATAGATAGATAGATAGATGATAGCTCGAGAGATAGACTGTAGCTAGCTCGCTCGCTAGATCGCTAGATAGATCGCTAGATAGATCGATAGATAGATTAGCTCGCTCGATCGCTCGCTCTAGCTAGCTCGCTCGCTAGCTCGCTCGCTCGCTAGCTCCGCCTCGCTCGGCTAGCTCGCTCGCTCGCTCGCTCGCTCGCTCGTCGCTCGCTCGCTCGATCGCTCGCCTCGCTCGCTCGCGCGCTCGCTCGCTCGCTGCTCCTCGCTCGCTCGCTCTCGATCGCTCCTCGCTTCGCATCGCCTCGCCTCCGCTCGCTCGCTAGCTGCTCGCTCGCTAGCTCGTCTGCTCGCTCGCTGCTCGCTCCTCGCTCGCTCGCTCGCTCGCTCCTCGCTCGCTCGCTCGCTCGCTCGCTCGCTCGCTCGCTCGCTCGCTCGCTCGCTCGCTGCTAGCTCGCTCGCTCGCTCGCTCGCTCGCTCGCTCCTCGCTCGCTCGCTCGCTCTCGCTCGCTCGCTCGCTCGCCGCTCGCTCGCTTCCTCGCTCGCTCGCTTCGCTCGCTGCTCGCTCGCTCGCCTCGCTCTCTCGCTCGCTCCTCGCTCGCTCGCTCGCTCGCTCGCTCCTCGCTCGCTCGCTCGCTCGCTCGCTCGCTAGCTCGCTCCTCGCTCGCTCGCTCTCTCGCTCGCTCGCTCGCTGCTCGCTCGCTCGCTCGCTCGCTCGCTCGCTCGCTCGCTCGCGTCGCTCGCTCGCTCGCGCTCGCTCCTCGCTCGCTCGCTCGCTCGCTCGCTCGCTCGCTCGCTCTCTCGCTCGCTCGCTCGCTGCTCGCTCGCTCGCTCGCTCGCTCGCTCGCTCGCTCGCTCGCTCGCTCGCTCTCTCGCTCGCTCGCTCGCTCGCTCGCTCGCTCGCTCGCTCGCTCGCTCGCTCGCTCGCTCGCTCGCTCGCTCTCTCGCTCGCTCGCTCGCTCGCTCGCTGCTCGCTCGCTCGCTCGCTCGCTCGCTCGCTCGCTCCTCGCTCCTGCTCGCTCGCTCGCTCTCGCTCGCTCGCTCGCTCGCTCGCTCGCTCGCTCGCTCGCTCGCTCGCTCGCTCTCTCGCTCGCTCGCTCGCTCGCTCGCTCGCTCGCTCGCTCGCTCGCTCGCTCGCTCTCGCTCGCTCGCTCGCTCGCTCGCTCGCTCGCTCGCTCGCTGCTCGCTCGCTCGCTCGCTCGCTCGCTCGCTCGCTCGCTCGCTCGCTCGCTCGCTCGCTCGCTCGCTCCTCGCTCGCTCGCTCGCTCGCTCGCTCGCTCGCTCGCTCGCTCGCTCGCTCTCCTCGCTCGCTCGCTCGCTCGCTCGCTCGCTCGCTCGCTCGCTCGCTCGCTCGCTCGCTCGCTCGCTCCTCGCTCGCTCGCTCGCTGCTCGCTCGCTCGCTAGCTCGCTCGCTCGCTCGCTCGCTCGCTCGCTCGCTCGCTCGCTCGCTCGCTCGCTCGCTCGCTCGCTCGCTCGCTCGCTCGCTCGCTCGCTCGCTCGCTCCTCGCTCGCTCGCTCGCTCGCTCGCTCGCTCGCTCGCTCGCTCGCTCGCTCGCTCGCTCCTCGCTCGCTCGCTCGCTCGCTCGCTCGCTCGCTCGCTCGCTCGCTCGCTCGCTCGCTCGCTCGCTCGCTCGCTCGCTCGCTCGCTCGCTCGCTCGCTCGCTCGCTCGCTCGCTCGCTCGCTCGCTCGCTCGCTCGCTCGCTCGCTCGCTCCTCGCTCGCTCGCTCGCTCGCTCGCTCGCTCGCTCGCTCGCTCGCTCGCTCGCTCGCTCGCTCGCTCGCTCGCTCGCTCGCTCGCTCTCTGCTCGCTCGCTCGCTCGCTCGCTCGCTCGCTCGCTCGCTCGCTCGCTCGCTCGCTCGCTCGCTCGCTCGCTCGCTCGCTCGCTCGCTCGCTCGTCGCTCGCTCGCTCGCCTCGCTCGCTCGCTCGCTCGCTCGCTCGCTCTCTCGCTCGCTCGCTCGCTCGCTCGCTCGCTCGCTCTCTCGCTCGCTCGCTCTCTCGCTCGCTAGCTCGCTCTCGCTCGATCGCTCGCTCGCTCGCTCGCTGCTCGGGCCCTCGCTTTGCGCTCCCTCCCCTCGTCCCTGCCTCCCCCTTTTGTTTCCCCCCCTCCCCTTGTGCCTCCTTTCCTTTGTGTTGTTTCTCGCTCCCGTGTGAGTCGTTTGTTTTTGTTACAATAACAAATACAAATTTTTAACTCAAAGTGCTCGAGCACTATCTAGAAACAGGACCTTAAACCTCGTTGATAAATGGTCTGAACAGTTGGCCACTCATATTACACCTAACAATAGGGTTTCCCTAGTCGAAAGCATGAAATAATCCTTAACTTTCGTAACGTTACGCTTTATAGTTCCATAAAAAAAACGCGCCAGTTTAAAAACATTTAAAGAAAATCAATGATCACTTCAAATTTTCACAACTTCCGCGATTTTGAAACTTTGCAGCGAAAACTTGTTGACAAGACATGTCATAAAAGGAAGCGGATATAAAAGGGATTGATTGTTGCCACCAATCATAAACTTACCAGAGTTGTGTTTATCTCCAAAATTATACACACGTTCCTTTCTTTATCGTCTAAAATATATTTATAAAATACTACACATTTCTTTTATTCATTAACCAATACACTGCCAAAACAAAATTTTTAGCAAAATTCTGGCTTAAAATTTATTTATTGTTATTTCTTATCAATTGTCTTTTAGAACACTCATACACAAAACGCTGACGTTGGTACTTTTTTGAAAGGCGGTTAGGTACTCAGCACATTTAGGAAATACATTGTTTTACATTTTATGTTTGCATACTATTCGTAGTTTTTTTTTTTTTAATTAATTAATTAATAAAACACTTACATTGTTTTATTTTCTTTAAATAATTTTTGTTTAATATTTATTTCTTTATAATTATGTTATCTGTTTATAAACAAATTGTCAACTTTGTTTAGGGCTCGTTTTTTTTGTTTTATTTGTGATCGTAAGTTTTCGCTTGACGGGTTTTTATAGACAACCTTTCACGACAACGTCTATATTTAGACTGATTGCAAGTCTATGTTTTTAGCAAACAAAAGCTTTAAATAAAAAAAATTCAACACCAATCATTATCATCATACACTTTCAATAAATATCAATCCAAGACTACTTACTCATCAAATACGAAGTACTACTCTGGTCATTCTCTCTCTGTACAAGATCTTCTTTGGTTTGGAAGAGTATTGTTTTTAATATAAGCCTAGCTTAACTGTAAATTAGCCGGTCTCTGTTATTGTTTATCGATGAGCAGTATTTAATTTAAAAAAAATAAAACTTAATTATTTATATTTATTTACTATAAACAAACATTTAAGTTTTTATCTATTCGCTTTTTTGCTCTTTATGATTCATTAAACAATAACAATTAAAAGTGTTTAACTATTTAAACAACAGTTATTATTATTAATTGCAAACACAAAGTGTCATGGCTGGCATACTATTTGAGGAATACGAAAAAGAGTGTAAGAATCAAAAATAGTTTTTCAATGTTTGGCCCAATTAAACAAAAAAACCTAAATTTAACATATTTAGACAAATTAAGCTTTTTATAGATTTTATTATAAATTCGATGTTTGTTAGAAAATTAAAGTGACAATTATTGACATTATTAAGTTTTTTTGATTAGAGAGTAAAAAAGTGAGTGAAAAAGTTTTCTTTATTTAATAAATTACTTAATTTAATAAATTATTTATCAAAACTTCTAAAGAATATACACATTCAAATATTTAAAATCCGTATAATTAACGGTTGTTTTACTTTTCCATAGCAATTCGTTCATCAACACTGGTTTTTAAATACATAGCAAATAAGGTTGCCTTATCGTCTGAATAAACATACTTTACAAACAGATATCGTTGTTATATTTTTGGGTTCATTCAATAAATCGACTTTCGAATAATCGTTTTTTTTTTTCTCGAAAATTTTCTATAAATTGAGAATTTATTGAAAAATTTCTAAAAATCGAGAAATTATCAAAAATTGAAAATTTATTGAAAATTTTCTATAAAATGAAGATTTATCAAAAATTTTTATAAATTCAAAATTTAACGAAAATTTTCTATAAATTGAAGATTTATTGAAATTTTTCTATAAATTGAAGATTTATCGAAAATAAGTATTTATTGAAAATTTTCTATAAATTTATTATTTATTGAAAATTTTCTATAAATTTAGAATTTATCGAAAATTTTCTATAAAATGAAGATTTATCGAAAATTTTTTATAAATTGAAGATTTATCGAAAATTTTTTATAAATTGAAGATTTATCGAAAATGCTTTATAAATTGAAGATTTATCGAAAATTTTTTATAAATTGAAGATGTATCGAAAATTATTTATAAATTGAAGATTTATCGAAAATTTTCTATAAATTGAAGATTTATCGAAAATTTTCTATAAATTGAAGATTTATCGAAAATTTTCTATGAATTGAAGTTTTACCGAAAATTTTCTATAAATTGAAGATTTATCGAAAATTTTCTTTAAATTGAAGATTTATCGAAAATTTTCTATAAATGAAAGATTTATCGAAAATTTTCTATAAAATGAAGATTTATCGAAGAGTTCTTATAAATTAAAGATTTATCGAAGAGTTTCTATAAATTAAAGATTTATGAAATTTTTTTATAAATTGAGGATTTATCGAATATTTTCTATAAATTGAGGATTTATCGAATACTTTCTAAAAATTGAGGATTTATCGAAAATATTCTATAAATTGAGGATTAATCGAAAATATTCTATAAATTGAGGATTTATCGAAAACTTTCTATAAATTGAGGATTTATCGAAAATTTTCTACATATAAATTAAGGATTTATCGAAAATTTTCTATATATAAATTAAGGATTTATCGAAAATTTTCTATATATAAGATTTACCGAAAATTTTCTATAAATTGAAGATTTATCGAAAATGCTTTATAAATTGAAGATTTATCGCAATTTTTTTATAAATTGAAGATTTATCGAAAATTATTTATAAATTGAAGATTTATCGAAAATTTTCTATAAATTGAAGATTTACCGAAAATTTTCTATAAATTGAAGATTTATCGAAAATTTTCTTTAAATTGAAGATTTATCGAAAATTTTCTATAAATGAAAGTTTTATCGAAAATTTTCTATAAAATGAAGATTTATCGAAGAGTTCTTATAAATTTAAGATTTATCGAAAAGTTTCTATAAGTTAAAGATTTATGAAATTTTTTTATAAATTGAGGATTTATCGAATATTTTCTATAAATTGAGGATTTATCGAATACTTTCTAAAAATTGAGGATTTATCGAAAATATTCTATAAATTGAGGATTAATCGAAAATATTCTATAAATTAAGGATTTATCGAAAATTTTCTATAAATTAAGGATTTATCGAAAATTTTCTATAAATTAAGGATTTATCGAACATTTTCTATAAATTAAGGATTTATCGAACATTTTCTATAAATTAAGGATTTATCGAAAATTTTCTATAAATTAAGGATTTATCGAAAATTTTCTATAAATTAAGGATTTATCGAAAATTTTCTACAAATTAAGGATATATCGAAAATTTTCTATAAATTGAAGATTTATCGAAAATTTTTATAAATTAAGGATTTATTGAAAATTTTCTATAAATTAAGGATTTATCGAACAATTTTTATAAATTAAGAATTTATCGAAAATTTTCTATAAATTAAGGATTTATCGAAAAATTTATATAAATTGGGGATTTATTTTCTATAATTTGAAGATTTATCGAATATTTTCTATAAATTGAGGATTTATCGGAAATTTTTTTTAAGAAATTTTCTCTAAAATCTGGTAACTGTTATTAAAAAACCGCTAGAATTTTAAAACAGCTAAATTGCGTTACAGACTCCAGCGCCGACTGACTGTTAGTTAAATACACTAGACGCCAATAACATTTCAAAATTAACGTCATTAAAAATTAGTTTATTTTATGTCGAATTAAAAAATTATAACAATTTTCTATGTATTTAATTTATATATTTCGTTAAGTACAAAAATTTTACTGTATTTTTAATTAAATAATTTATATTTATTAACAGCAAATATAGTTCTTATTAAGCCGCTATTATGAAAATTTAACGCCGTTGGTTTCTCATTTTCCAGCACAGTTGTTGGAGCGTAAACTTTTTTAGTTAAAAGAGAATCATAGACAAAGATAGACGAGATTAAGTGCGGATGTGTAAATAAATAAATAGAATTAAAGATTATGTACACATAAAAGAATAATTTTAATGCTAAAAACAAGTTAATAATAAATGACTAATTTAATTAGTTGATAGAAGAAATGAAAAATTAGTTAGTGAATAAATAAAAGAAACTACAAAGTTTTAGAACGCTAAAGTGAAATTTGGTTTAAGAAAATCTAGAAGAATAACAAACAAAAATGGAGTGGAAAGTGTTGATGCCAGCTAAACAATATTATTTATTAGTTTGCCTTTTAATTACTTTAGTGGTAGTGACCAATGCCGGTGTACCACGTTCCAGTTATGAGGCCTTATTAAGACAACAATCCGAAGAATTGGGTTTATACAATGCTACCGACAAGGTTCGTATTCTCACCAATGTCAATTTCAAAAATGAGGTCTTGGACAGAAATCATTCCATATTGGTAGAATTCTACAATAGCTATTGTGGACATTGCCGCAAATTTGCTCCGGCATACAAGCAATTGGCTGAAAAACTATACGACTGGCGAGATGTTTTGCCAGTAAGTGCCATAGATTGTGCAGTCGATGACAACAATGGCATATGTCGAGAGTATGAGATTATGGCCTATCCCACTTTAAGATATTTTGGCCCCGCCTTTCAGCCACAAGCTGATAACTATGGTAAATCTATATCATCTCAAGATTTAGGCGTTATAAACCAACAATTTGGCCCAGTTTATAGCGGCTGAGAATAAAACCAGTAATATGTCTTCCTGGCCAGATTTACAAGCTGTACAAACTGCTAGTGCTGCTGCTTTGTTTGAAGGTTTGGACAGTATGAAAAAATATGTGGTTTTGGTATACGAACCAGAAAATTCTACAGTGGGTGTAGAAACTATCTTGCATTTCTTGAGATATCCCAATATAGCGGTGAAAAGAATTAACGATCTTGAGTTGGCCGCCAAATATCAAATAGATGGCACTAGATATAAAATTGCCACCGTTAATCGCCAGGGTTCCATAGTACCCTATGCTCCGCTGCATGAACTTTCTGATTCCTATAAAGAAACCATTCAATCTTTCCTTACCTCACAACATATAACCGAAAAGCCGGAAACAAAAGCTGACGGCACCACCGCCAAACCCCTGCAAGGCACTCCCGAACAAAATACTAAACAAATGGAAATAATCGAGGAAGTTAAACGCAACAAACATCTCGTCTATCAGGCCGATCTCGAAATGGCCATACGCAATACTCTACACAACGAAATACCCAAATCTTCGAATATAAACGGGGAAAAACTTTTGGCTTTACAACGTTTCCTAGCCGTTTTGGAGCGCTATAATCCCTTGGGCTCTTCAGGACGTGCGCTGATATCTCAGCTAGCCACCTTTGTTTCTCGCCATAATCAAGAGTTGGCGGGCGAAGATTTTGAAGTGGAACTTAAGAAATTGGAAAAGCAATTGGGACCAATTTATTCTTCTACACATTTTGTCGGTTGCACTGGTTCGCAAAGTGGCTTAAGAGGTTTCTCTTGCTCGCTGTGGCAGCTGTTTCATTTTATGACTGTACAGGCAGCAAATTTGGACAAGAGTCAAGATCCTCTAGAAGTGCTGCAAGCCATGCATGGTTACATAAAATACTTCTTCGGCTGCACCGACTGCTCTGAACATTTTCAGGTGAGTTTGTGGCAAAATTATTTTCACAATTTATTGAAAATATTCCATAAATTGAGAATTTATTGCAAATTTTCTTTGAATTGAAAATCTATCGAAATTTTTCTAAAAATTAAAAAGAAAATGTTCTGTAAATTGAGGAGTTAACCACAGTCAGGACTATAGTCTGGTCT